ATATATATATATATTAGTATATATAATATATAGCACATGGGGCACACCAAGCCAGCAATCCTCAGCCTGCGACCCTATACAGCCCGGAGTGAAAAGGCTAAGACTCCTGCGGCTCAGCATGTGTCGGGACGGGGCTCTGTTTGCCCAGGCCGGGCCGGGGGTCTGTTTTCCCAGGCTGTGCCGGGGCTCTGTTGGCCCAGACTGCTAGGAGTCGGGCACGGCTTGTCGCCCCGACTCACAAAATCCGCTCCCCAATGCTCAAGAGCCTGTTGAACGCCTCCATCTTCGGGTCCGGCTTCCTCTCCGGCTCCGGGGCTCGGTCGGCTCGGGCTCCTTGTTTGCGACTGTCGGACCGGCTGCGCCGGTCCCGGGGGCGGTGGCGCCTTGATGCTTTCCTTGAGCTTGGCACCGAATGCACAGACACTCCCCGGCGATCATCGTCCTGGCGGCGGGCTCTTGGGCGGGATCGGATGGTGATGCTGCCAGTGCCACCCTGCCCGTGGCGGCTTCCGCGACTGCTCTTGCGTTCTGGTGAGGCGTTCGCCGGGGAGCTCCTCCTCGTGGAAACTTCGGACCAGGATCCATCCTTCGGCCTTGGCGGCTTCTTGGCCTGCACCGGCTGACTCGGCTGGGCTTTGCTGGATTTGCCTGCTGGAGCCGTTGCAGGCTCTGGCGGCGGCGCCGCTCCACATCGATGTTCGTGTTGCTCGCAATCCTCCATTTTATAAAAATGGCGTTTGCAAAACCTGCAGGGAAACTGTGGCTTGGGTGTCCCCTGCCCGGACAGGCGCTTCTGCCACACCTGGCAACCGCTGTTCTGCGTCAAGTGCAGATTCATGGTGCTGCGAGGCTTCAATGCCCAGCAGCACGGGCATTTAACTTTCTCTTCGCTCCAGTATCCATTCGCCAACTGCACGCCTTCCTTCGCGGTCGGCAGGTCGCAAATCCGGAAGCCCGCCACCTCGCCAAAGGGCCCCCACACTTTCTCTTCATCCTCGGACCACTTGCCATTGTCATTGTCCTTTCGGTTATCTTCCTTTTGCGAGGCAATATCCTTTTTCTCTTTCTTCTCTTTCTTATCCTTCTTGTCCTTCTTCTCCTTCTTGCTTCGTTTTTCCCGTCGGCTGCGGCTCCGGCCCCGGCTGGGCGACGGGGTCTTGGCTTTCCCATAATCTGCCGAGTTGTCGCTGCTCTTCTCCTCGGACCCGCTCTTGTCCTGGGAGCTGCTCTTCTCCTCGGACCCGCTCTTGTCCCGGGAGCTGCTTTTCTCCCGGGCCTTGTCCCGCGATCTCTGCTCCCCGGCCTTGGAGCTCTCCGACTCCTCCGAGCTCCCATCTTTTTCTGTGGCACCTTCGCCCGCCCTAAAGCTCGCAGGCTTCGGTGTGTTCGGGTCCGGCATGGCGGCGGTGTGCACGCGACCTGGCCAAGGAACTCAAACACAAAACCGTCAATCCTAACATACCCCATAACCCCGTGACCCCATCCCTCGCCCTCATCCCTCAGCCCTTTCCTGGACTCGCCGCCTGCATGCCTTGAGTACTGTCGGCGCCTGCAAGTCTCGAAAGACTCCGGCCCTCCGACAGCACCAAGGCACCGACTGCACGAGCCTTTCTTGCTCGCCGCCACGTCTGGCTGCACGAGCTGAATTCTCTACCCCTGAAAAAAATCTTGAACTCCCTGAGACTCCCTGCCTATAACCCTCTTTACAGTAGAGGTTCCCACAACGGTCCCGCCTCCACTGCCTCGACTGCCTCCACGCAGGATGAACTGCAACATGAAGGCCCAAAAGGCTGCGGTCAATGCAATAGAATCATCAAGCACTGCTCTGCCAAACAACACTCACTGACATGCTGATATGCTGCAAAGGCAAGACATGAAAACTGAAAACAATTGTTCATCTGCCTGAATCTGCCTTGCTCAGAAATCAAGATCGACCTAAACCCAGAAGGCCCCAAAACCATACTAACGACACCCCGTGAATCATGAATCTGGAATCTTCACTACCCTAACCTCAACCCTTACCTACCTCAACCTCTGAGAATCTGCCCTTCAGAACTCTGAACTTCACTCAGATCACAATCAGAACTTCAGAACTGCGCGCCCGGGCCCGATCCCAGTCCTAATCAGTCCTAATTTCTAATCCCGAAACCAAACTCAACAGGATTCTGACACCAAGCCCCAAACAGGGGTTTAGGGCCTTTAGGGTTTAGAAGTTTAGGCGAAGTCAACACAACGGCCGCCAAGGACGCGGCCCAGTTGGACCCACGGCCACTGTCCTTGTGTTTCTCCCGGCACCTCCGAAGAGATTCATCATCCCCATCTTCTNNCTTCGTCGGTGGCTACATTCATATCATTTCAACTAGACTTCATCAGAATTTCTTGCAGGGATGCTGGACGACCACGTGTCAGAGTCATGGACGGCGGACGGCCGGTCGAACTGTGTTTGTGTCTGCGTGTGTGTGTCTGCGTGTGTGTGT